AATTTTAAAAGCATCTGAAGAAAATGTCAAAATTTTACCAGTTGCTATCTTTCTATGAAGATACCGTGGGTTTTCTCCTTTTTCCACTTTTGTTTCATAAATTTTCTATTTGAGCACATGTATTTGTCCTTAAAGAAAAATATACCAAAACAGGTTGACTCCAGATTTCAGGCATTCTTTACTACACTACTCTGTTAAAAATACCGATGACCTAAATTCAAAGATAATTTTAAAGAATTCAACAAAGCAGCTTTTACTATCAGAGAATTTGGTAGAATTTCATAGAAGGTAAAATGAGTTTGGGGGTATCTAGTATTTCATTGCCAGAACTCCTTCCTCTCTTATCATAGTACATCTACTCCTACTCTGTAGTCACTATCTTCATAGCCCACTCTACTGTCCAAACTTCTTCTGTCATTCTCTCACTGATCCGGTCTCCTCTAATTCCTATCCTCCAGATTTATCCCTTCCAGAAACTTTCAAATAAATCATTTCATGCTAAGCCAGCAGACTCTTGAGTCTCACCATATTCTTCCCTTTGGTTAAATGTGCTCCTATCTGTGTGTGCTATGCTTTCTGCCACAGCTCTCCAACTGTCCCCCGATTTCCCAGCACACCACAGAAAGGGACATCAACAAATTAGCACAACACCTCTGAAACCTCCTGTACCCAATCTTACCTCCCTGTGGGAAAGTTTTCTTGCCAATTTGAGGCTTACTGTATTCCACTGTCCATTTCACCTGAGTTACATAGAAAAGATTTTAAAAATAAGAAAAATGGCTGAGTTGTTTCTAAGCACCAGTACTGATTCTTGCTCAAGATGAAAATGTCACTCCAGTCCATAGACAGCCAGTGAGAACCAGAACTCTCCTGAGTCAGACCAAAGAACCTATTCTCCTCAAATGTAGATTAATACCCTCAAAATTGGGTGAAAAGATAAAAAGCTTCAATTACATGAGAGTTATAATTCCTAAAGAGAAAAACAGGAATTAGTTTGAGTTACGCTGAAAACTAAGTTACAGAAATTCAGAGTTTGTAACACACAGAAACTGAAACTATCATTGGAGAAATTACTATGAAAAACTAATAGGAAATACAGAATTAGAGAAGTAGAAAGGAATATGAGACAGAAAACATGAAAATGTCATGCTGTTGCATCATCCTGGAACAGCTGCTTCTGTTCAATATTCCACCCTTCGCTCAGGACTCAGTTTAGTGTCTTCTCCATCCAAAAAAAAAAAAGAAAGAAAGAAAGAAAAACAAATCTACCAACATCACTAACAAAAACTATAGCTGCTCATCCTATTACTCTTCTCCATGCTTTGTCTAGAACATGTAGGAAAAAAATATGTGAAAAAATAATTAAATTTTGTCTTAAAAAGGGAGATAATTACTGACCAATAGTTGAGGGCAGGTCCACTATCCAAAGACAGGTTCGATTCATGTCTGGTCAGCTCGACTGTAAAGAATTTGTTTTACATACATTTTACATGATAGCACTTGAAGTGGGAGCATTTTTCTAAACTTAGAGGAGGAAAATTTTACATTCTGACTGAGATTGTGGCCTTTTCAAAAACAAAGAACCTTATGTTGTTTCTCTCAAGTAAAAAATATTCTAATTAGCACTAACTATGGGTGACCAAATGATAGCACTGAGTCTGGGGGAATAATCCATCCTCCCTTGACTGAATTTTCCTGGGAATTATACCTCAGAGTCCTAGGGAATAAAAAGGACAAAAGAACAGAAGGGGTGGGGGAAAGCATCCTCCATGTGCCAGATGCAACTGTGCCTAGATGGGTAGAAGAAGTATTTTGCTTCAAAATGAGTCAGTTGAAGTAGTTGATGTGAAATTGAATACTTCCTTCAACATATTAAATCAAGAGTATTACACCAGGCTGGTGACTCCCACCTGTAATCCCAGTGGCTCAGGAGGGTGAGGCAGGAGGATTGCAAGTTTAAAGCCAACTACAGCAATTTAGTGAGGAATTAAGCAACTCTTCAAGACCTTGTCTCTAAATAAAATATAAAATAGGGCTGGGAATGTGACTCGGTGGTTAAGCACCCCTGGGTTC